CGTTAGCGTCTGAGAGGCTGAAGGCAGCGGGATGAGAGGTTTTGAGATGAGAAACCCCAGGTGCCCTTGAACTCACGTGAGCCTCGCTCGCTCCGTTCTGTTCGCCCGGCCGTTAGCAGCGACACGGGCGCCTGTCGCGGTTCAGGCGGTGGTTTATCCCCAGCCCCGCTGCGGGAAGCCGGGAGCCACAGCTCGCTCTCGCGCGCAGAGCTGCGTTTGGAAGGGCTGCGACACTGCGGGTCTCAGTTGTGGGGTGGTTGGATTGAGGTGGGAGCGTGGTCGTGAGCTGTCGCCCCACAGCAGGCAATGTGCGGGGACGGGCTTCGAAGGAAGGAGTTAAAAGGGAAAATGAGGATGTAGTACAGCGTTAATTTATTCAGAGTTCTCTTGAAGATGAGTCTTGCTAGGTTCCTCTGCCCCGGTACTGAACACCACCAATATTGTCCCTTGCTCTGAGGTTGGACTTATAACCATGGTAGAGCTGGTATCGTGAATCAGCTCTATATTTAGAAAAAATAAATGCTAGTGGAACTGAAGGAGAGGGGTACTTGGTAGAGAAACTCAGTGAGAAGTTGAAGGAAGGCAGCAACAGGAAGTTTCAAAGTGGAGGAAGTTGCTCCGCGGTGTTTTCCAAGGACCTCCCGTGGGACCAGTGCTGTTTGGTCTCTGCATGTTAAAGCAAAAAGTGCTGATGTTTCATGCAGAGCTGCTGATGGAAATAGAGATCAATTCTTCACGTGAAGAGCAGGTGAGATGATATCGTGAGGAACCAATTAAAATTGTAACGGAATTCAGCAATGTGAAGTAAAGGGTCTAATAGTTTGTGAGACATTATTAAATCTTTCTCTTCTGAGGAGAAGGTGGTGCTGGGTGTATAGTGGTCAACAGCTGGACCACGAGCTAGCAGTGTTCCACGTGCTGGGGGAAGGGTAAGGGTACTTGGAGATGTGTCACCAGAGATTTCCAGAAAAGACAGAGGAAACTTTGGACATCTTCCCCAAGCCTCGGGTGAGATCTCTTTCGGGATACTGCCATCACTCTGGTGTTCAGGAAGGGTGGATTTGAACTGGGATGTGCATGGGTTGCTGAGAGATATGGCAGGAGGGCAGTTCCTCTTATTCCAGGTGAGGTAAGAGCTCTGATGGTTTAGCTTGGCAGAGGGCCTGACCGACACATAAATTGATATGAAGAGTGGTGAAGGGAAGGAGGGGAAAAAGCTGTAAAGCTGCTTCTTGCCTGCTAAACAAGACCATCATACGTATTTCTGATAAAATTTGAAGGTAATCTGAGAAGCAGTTCAGTTTTATGTTAGTGGTACCAGTAGTATGGTATCGTGGAGAAGAGCCCCTTCCTTGAACTCTTTATGCATATTTAGGGACCCCCCCCTTAGGTTTTGTTAGTCTCACTTTTGCAGCCAGGGCAAATTCTTGGCTTTTTGGGGCACCAGCGCTCTTTGATGCACTGGATCCGTGGTGCATTTCTCTCCTCTTGTGCAGAAGGTGGTGTGTGCAAGGACCGTATGTGCGCTTTGGGTTCTCAAATCCTTCCCATTGCTGCAATGGAATTACAGCTCTGGTGAGGAGGTCTCGGCTGTTCAGACAAACGTGGCAGTAATGAACAGAACTGAAAGCAGGAAGTAAGGAAAACATTGGTTTTAACTGAAACAGCAGTTAGGGATCCGTGCTACGTGGCTGATGGTGTGTTGGCTAAACAGTTGCCTTCCTGTCCTCATCCACCAGTGGCTCAGTGTCCTAGCCATACCTTTTGGGGCACAACATACCTCTTTCTCAAATGGTTCCTAGAGTCTCTTGCGTTTCAGAAGCTTCTGCACGGAGAAAGCATATTTTGCTCTTCATCTGCCCAGATCAAGCACGTGAACGCTTTCCCTCGGGGTAACAGAAAGAGCAGGCTGGCTGGCACACGGTGCTTTGATGGTTGAAGAGCTACGTAGGTTCCCTGTGCACCCAGCCTTCTCCTGAACTTACACAAGCAGGAACCTTTGATCTCCTTCCATGTTCCTGGTTCCTTGAAGCTGGGGCTGAATGTACATCTGTCTCTGGGTGTAGTGGAAATCAATTGCTAAGGTGTACCTATGGAATACTGGCACGAGGGAACTCCTGGGCATGGCGTGCGGTGTCGAGTCAAGAGCCCAAAAGGTTGGGCTGTCCTCGTCATCTAAACGTCAAATCAGACTTCGTTGTTCTGCAAGTTGTGTTACCTTTCAGGCTAAACCTAACTCTTAAACTGGTAGTTTAAGCAGTTAGAACACTCAGTGTGGTAGATCTCAAAAGAGTTTTTCGACTCCTGCTCTAAGAGATCACCCACAAGGCTGGTGTTGGGGGTGGAAGAGTACATGAGTGCACAGATTGGCAAAACGGACAAAAGTATATCTTTGTGGATTTCTCTGTTTTGACATACTTTTAAAAAAATGCACTTTTACATGTCAGTAGGATGGATAACTTTCTGGGAAGTCATATTAGCAGAAGCTTGAAGTACTCTGTTCTGGAGGTAGTTAATATGACTGTTGGTCTAAAATGTAAACTTGCCATTCTCTTCCCTAACCCTCTTCTGAAGCAACAGTTAGACAAAATAGCTTTGTTTTTATGTAAAAGGTAATGGGAAACTCCTCAGAATTCCAGAAAGCAGTGAAGTTGGTGATTGACACAGTTTCGTTTGATAAAGACTCAACGGTCCAAGTTTTTGAGGCAACAATCAGGTACGTCACTCTAAGTTTCTGTCTTTAAAACAGTACTAAGGTGTGCATATATGGGAGAACCAGAGTAAAAACACTGATAGGGATGTCTTTGGTTGGCTTCATTCCATAATTGTGCCTCGAATTGTTTTTTAACCTTTTATGAAAATATTCCGTCCTTTCATAATTAAAGTAATTTTAACGAGTCGCATGTAGCTTGAAGCAGTGATGCAGTGGTAGGCTTGGCTGTCTTTGGTTTGCAGACTGCTACTTTTTTGTTGCTCTTGCAGCAGAGCCTCAGATCTGTGCACAGCAAACAACCCTGCTGCCAGGTTTTTCCCCTTTTCGGTTTTCTTACGTGGACCTTCTGCTTGTTTTCACTTTCGTTTTAGATGAAGAACAGGCCTGTCTGTCTTGGAGATGAGTTTGAGATACTGTCTGATTTTAAATGGTTTCATTTCCTGAATGTCTTAAACAATGTTTATTCAGTTGCTGCCTAACTCGGCAAGGCTTTCTTTTTTCTGAATACTAAGTTTGTGTAACAACCTTACTGTGGTTTGCAGGGGCAAGGAGGTCTTCACTCGTAAATAGACTTGGTACATTGTAAGGAGCTGCTGGGTTAGGTAAATTGTGCAGAACTGGATTTTGGGATTACTGTGGGTGACAAGCAACATGAAATCTAGATGTTTTCACCACTGGTGGGGAAAAAGGCAGATCTCCTCCTGTAGTGCCTGGAAGGTGCACAAAGTAATTCTGCTGTTAAGCATGATGCTGGTGGGGGTTTAGCTGAAGAACTAGGTTCAGATCAGATTTACAAACTGAAGAACTTCTCCTTTTCCCACAGGGTTTTGGGAAGCCTGCTTTCTGCCCACATAATAATTACAGACACCAAACAGCCTTTTGGTGATATGACCATTAAGGATTATGACAATGAACTGTTGCATATGGCTCATGACCTAGCAGTGAGATTACTTCCAGCCTTTGAGAACACCAAAACAGGAATTCCATATCCTCGGGTAAGCGAGCACGCCAGCACAGTGGGGAGATAATCTAAAAGTAGTAATTCTCCTGTCCTACACCTCCCAATTCTGTGCCCTGTGTGTGCCTTTATGTGCACACTTGGGGTATTGAACCTGCTCTAAGTTACATAAAAATGGTGTGGGGGGGGAACTGCACTAAGTTATGGTGACATGGACGATACATAATTTGCTCCTTCTGTCTAGTGAATGTTTTCTTTAGGCTGTTTTTTCACTCGGTCTGTATTGTTCCTTATGGGTCAGTAGTCATTTGTTTCCGTGCTGTTTGGCTGGAACGTGCTCTGCCCTGCGCTCTCTTCCATATATTCTGCAGCAACGAACAATGCTGTCGTTAAGAAGGTTCACAAGAAATGCTGTAAAGGCAAATAGCCTAGGAAAGAGACTTTATTGGCAACTTGGTACTAGAATAAAACAAAACTCATCTAAAATATTTGCCATTCTGGGTTTGGAATTTGTAATTTTCTTGAACGCTGCTCAGTGAGTACTCGAGAATACTGCAGTATTCTTGAATACTGTGTCCTCTTGTTTTAAGCAGATGCAGTTCTCGAGGAGAAGGATGTCAGTTATAGTGGAACAACTCTAAACTGTAAAACTAATTAGCTCTTGCCTGAGTACTTTTAATGTCTGGGGACAGCAGCACTGCTTTTCCTCCAGACCTGTCAGGCTGCAGAAACATGAACTTTCAATCATAGACTCAGAATGGTTTGGGTTGGAAGGGACCTCAAAAATTATCTAGTTCCAGCAGGGACACCCTCCAGTAGCCCAGGTTGCCCAAAGCCCGATCCAGCCTGGATGGATGTTCCCTTCCCTTCGGAGTCTGGTAAAGCAGTCGAGGGTGGTGTAACTTCCCTTCGGCATTTTGTTCCATGGGGAAGTCGAGGAGCATTCACTGAGGAAACGCTTGGTTTCAAGAGCTCTAAATGAGGGGAAGCAGTACTTGCATCACCCTTGGAAGAACCTCAATGTTCGGTAGAAATGCTGAAAAAATGGACTGAAATTTGGAAGGATTAGCAAGTATAAGAGTAGCAAAATTAGGATTGCCCACTTCGAGCATGATGTTATAAAGTCGGAAGATGAATTTCAGGAATTCTTCAGGAAAGCTTTTTGCCCCAGCAGCGAAATGCAGGCTTTCTAACTATGTACGCATTGCACGCTACATGTGGCAAAAGCTGATAAAAAGGCTTTACAACAAATACAAGGCTGCGGGTGAGAGCAGCTCCGTATGAGGTGCAGGCTGCCTTCTTGCTGTTAGCATTCTCTCTGCCTGCTTCACAGGTCAATCTGAAGAAGGGGGTACCTCCGGACAGCAATAATGAAACTTGTACGGCAGGAGCCGGTTCCTTGCTGGTGGAGTTCGGTATCCTTAGCAGGCTGCTCGGCGATTCCACGTTCGAGTGGGTGGCCAGGAGAGCTGTCAAAGCGCTCTGGAGTCTCAGGAGCAATAACACCGGACTGCTAGGTGAGATGATGCCGTGACTGGCTCTGTGTTGTAACCTGCCTCAGTCTCCTGTAGCAGAATGCCATCATGCCACAGGTTTCTTGCTGTCATAAATTTTGTTGATCTGCTTCCTCTGTAGCTGTTGAGTCACGCTCTCCTTGTGTACTGGTGGTTTGTGTTGACCAAATGGTACTTTGTAATTTCGTAAGAAAAATGAGAGTATCTGCATGACCTCTTAGTGCATGGGTTTCCAAAGACAAATTTTTTTGTGAAACTGGGAAATGAAACTGAAGTTCTTGCATTTGTATCCACATTACTGTAATTTAGATTGGCAGATGACTAAAAGTACTTAAAACAACTGCACGCGTGTGCTAGTTCCTTGGATGAATGCACTGCAACGCTTTATTTTGATAGTAATCTTTGATCATTCCTCCTTAAGATTTTTTGAAGATGTAATATTTCCAAGTTCTGATTCTTGATTATTTTTCTCTGATGTACTTGGCAACTTTAGCCTAAACTTTTTGTCTGTTCTGAAAGGAAATGTTGTGAATATTCAAACCGGTCATTGGGTTGGGAAGCAAAGTGGATTGGGAGCAGGGTCGGATTCATTCTATGAATACCTTCTGAAGTCTTACATCCTCTTTGGAGAAAAGGAAGACTTGGAGATGTTCAATGATGCTTATCGGAACATTCAGAATCACTTAAGAAGAGGGTATGTTGTTTCATATGAGTATCAATTCCTTAAGCAGTGAGTACTCCAGCAAGATAGGAGCACCATTTTGTGTCATGCTCTAGGAAATCTGTGTTCTCCTTTTTTCTTTAAAAAACAAAATCTTATTTCCATAGTAGTCACTGTGGAAATAAATTTTAACATTCCCTTCGCTCTGTAGTCAACTGATCTGTATGGCATTGTTGCGCAAAGAAGCTAAACTGGTTACTGTCCAAGATAGTGAATGTTAGGCCGAGAGAAGGCTGTAGAACTGCAAAGGAAATGTATTAATTGGCTGGTTTAGTACTTCTTAAGGCCTTATCTTACCTGCCATGACTTGTTGGTAGAGGTTCTGCTGACATAGCTTTAGGGTATGATGTACATACCATTTTGAACTATTTTTTCTGAGAGCGTGGCTGATGTTTTGGTTCTTTTCAAAACAACTTTGAGTCTAGCACGACAAATTTGAGACTCATTCTCCTTGCTGGTGGCAGTGCTGTGAAATGAAACGTGCATTGTGGTGTTCTACAATAGTGAATATTTACACGTGCTTGTTGTTACTTGGCAGTCGAGAAGCTTGCAATGAAGGTGAAGGTGACCCTCCTTTGTACGTTAATGTAAACATGTTCACAGGACAGCTGATGAACACGTGGATTGACTCTTTGCAAGCCTTTTTTCCTGGACTACAGGTAAACTTTCACTCTGTTAAAGACCAAATGACACAGTAGAGGCGTGTCAGAAAGCAATTTGCTGGCTTGCAGCATTAAGCGTGCGTGTTTATGGCTGTTGTTATGCCTAGGTATTGATAGGAGATGTGGAAGATGCTATTTGTCTCCATGCTTTTTATTATGCCATATGGAAACGATACGGAGCTCTCCCAGAAAGATACAACTGGCAATTGCAAGCACCCGATGTTCCCTTTTATCCACTGAGGCCAGAGTTAGTGGAGTCCACATATCTTCTTTATCAGGTACTGGACTTCTCAGCACACAGCTCGTGTTTTGGCAGAAATGGTTTCATTCAGAAAGTCACTTTTTCTACCCCTGGCCTCTGGCCTGCTAAAATGTGGTGTGTCTGGATCTGCCTGTTCTGATATGGAGGTCTCTGCTTATGCACTAGATCGTTTTGCAATGTAGTTGCTATGTTTTTTTCTTAAAAATAGCCTTCTTTATAACACAGACAAAAATGAGACTAAACAACCTTTTCAAAAAATAGCTGGCAGATTTTTACAAGGTAGAGACTTGTCTTCTTAATAGAAATTGTTGAAGTAAATGTAATAGGTTTCCTTGCTGTATTGTCTAGGCACAGTCTCCAACTGGCAGAAGATAAAGTAAACTAAAATAACTTTCTGGCTGCAAGAAAGCTATCAGAGTTTAAATTTACTACAAGTTTTATTAGGATTTACACTAAAGCAAATGTGAGAAGCTTGCACAGAGAAATCTAAGTCGTGTTCCCATAAAGATAAGTTTACTGTAATACACTGATACTACTAGGCCTTTGGTGTAAGTGTTATTTTTACAAGATTTCAAAATTGCTGACTCTAACTCTTGTCTGTCTTCCTTATTTAGGCCACAAAGAACCCATTTTACCTTCATGTGGGAATGGATATTCTGCAGAGTTTGGAAAAATACACAAAAGCAAAGTCAGCCTTCAATGTTCTTTGTCTTCTCTCGCTGCTATATACATATATTTTATTTTATAAATATTATATAGAATCCAATCTGCCAAAAAACCAGAAAACCTAACCCTCCATGAAAGCCACAAATGATGATTTATTTATGGAGCAATTATTTGTTTCGCATTTGAAAATGAAATTATAGTCCAGTGATGACTTTATGCCTTCAGAATTTTATAATGTCCTTTCAAAATGCATTGTTGATGATCAGTTGCTAAAAACTGGTAAAAATTAGTAGTTGTTTTGTTTTTTTCTATGGATCCTGCAAGAATATTTCTAACCTCATGGGCCCATGGTCTTTAACTAAACTGGAGGGATGGCCTCTAAGATAGATGCTGCTGTGATGCAGCTTTCATCTCGAGACAGTAACGGTTAATCCTGACTACCACTGAGCGTCTGAACTTCTTGCAAGACTTAGAGGGAAGACAGCGAATTTTTATTCAACTATTGGTATTTACTGATTTTGTAGGCAAGTCTGTACTAAGCCTAGGACAGTATAAACCAGCGCCGTTCTGCAGTTAAGTGGGACTCAGATGCTGTGTAGGGCTGAAAGAATTACAAGTGCGCTGTGTGACAGCTTGCAGCTTTGTCATTTGTTAAGTGTGGTGGGAGGAAAGAGCAGGTAGCTTGGGAAGAAACCTTTGCATGAGACCAGGCTGCCAGACCCGGGTTTCTCGTGTGCTCAGAGGGAGAAATTGCCTGTTCTGTGCACGGTGCCTTGAGCATATCTTGCTTCTGAGAGAGACTCTTAATAAATCTGCACAGTGGAATAGATGAACTGCAGGGTCAATGATTACAGTCCCACCAGAATACCAGAAACCAATAATCAGTGCGTACTTGTAAAAGAGATTTATTTCATTTTAACTTCACCCCTAGAGACAGTTTGAATGGTCTGAAGCTAAGGAATATCTAGAGAGCGCTTCCAGATCACATCGCATGGGAACTGAACCCAAACTAATCTTAAATCTTGCAGGTGTGGCTACGCCACGTTGCACCATGTTGTAGAGAAGACAAAGGAAGATCGAATGGAGAGCTTTTTTCTCAGTGAAACATGCAAATATTTGTATCTGGTACGTATACGGTCTCCCATTTCAGAGATGCTCTCTCGCATGCGCTGTGCACAAACGTGGCACAGCGAGGAGGCAGGACGTTGTCAGTTAGAAACTGTGCTGCGCTCTGCGAGGAGAGGGGTTCAGGTATCGGAGGGTATCAGAGAATGTGCTGCTTTTCTTTCTTTGACCCTACCCTAATCTTGGAGGTTTGGGCAGCTGCTGGCTGGAGAGCTGGGCAGCTCTTTTGGGGGGAGCTGGGAAGGAGAGGAAGCAAGGCTGAAGGAAGCTGCTGCTCAGCTCTGAGCTCCATTACTGCTTGTAGCCGCAGCAGCCCCCGAGTTCTCCCCATCAGGCTTTGGCGGTCACAGGAGAAAGCGTTTGAGCCAACACTGCTTAAGCTACTGTTCTCAATCTCCTTTAGTGTAGAGAGACAAATGAATCTGTGACTGAACGGAAACAGTGGTGCCAGCCTAGAAATGCCTGCATCGTGCAGCTTGGAAAAATAAGAGCAGTTTAAGTTGTGTGAGAAGTTTTTCTTTTGCTCTCCCCTTTTAACTGTTAAAATAAATCCGTTGCATTAAAACTATTTATTTCCATTTGCTCTAACAGTAGTTACCTGTTTGTTACTACAAGGTATGCTTTTTGTGTGATCCTTCAAATGCACGAGTGCGTGTGTTTTAACTTGCTCTTGACGGGACGTGAGCAATGTTACACACATGCTATAGCTGTCTCTCCCATCTCTTGTTTAGTTGTTTGATGAAGAGAATCCACTGCATAAATCTGGAAATAAGTATATGTTTACTACTGAGGGACACATTGTGTCTGTGGATGAACGTTTTCGTAACTCCCTGTGGCAAGACATCCTCCCTGGAGAAGAGGACAGCGCAGAAAGAATTAAACCTAACGAATTAAAGCCAGTCAACTTCAGTTCTAATGTAAGGAATTCACGGAGTGTTGCTGGTTGTGTTGCTGGAGAAGGGATGTATGTTTGACTGGGCTAGGCAGTAGAAAAAGAGCCATTTGGAAGTGTTACTTCAGGGCTCTGCAGTGTTCCCTTTATAAAAAGTCAAATACCTGAGTGTTGTGAAAAACACTTTCAGTAGTGGAATGAATGGATTAGGATAATGTGAGAGGGATTATGTTGAAGATGAAACCTGTCCCTTTTTAAGTGTTTTGCAGCAATTAGTTTGTTCTTTGTTAATTTATTTTCAGTTATTTTTCCTTCCCCTTTTCTTTACCCTTAAAATTTTCCAGTGTCGCTGTAATGGGGAAGGAAAAAAGCAGAGGGTCATTTACACAGAGCTTTTTCCCCTCAGAATGGTTTTGAGGCGTGGAAAGGTGACCTTTCTTAGCTAGGCATCAACTGAGTACAGAGCTATGGATCCAGTGCCTACCGCCAACCAAAACAGATAGGTTTCTAATACAGAACAATTTTTAAATTCTCTGCTAGTAGGTTCTAGCATGGTTCCTTTCCTCCTCCCCCCAGTCCTGCAGAAAAAGAGCATTATTTTAAAAAACATTCACAGTTGTCATAGTGAAGGAAGTCTCAGTTGAATAACAAGCTGCAGCAGTTTGGCGTGTGTTTGGAAGCTTGCAGCCTGCGCTAGGGAAGCACTTGCTGTTCACTTATGTGGTTTGTGCTGTAAGTTTTTGCAAAGAGTGAGGGAGGGTTGGGACCAGAAGCGCTGCTGGGTACAGTTTTCTGTACTGGGACGAAATCTGTGGTTACTGATGCTGAAATGCCTGCTAGATTATTACAGAGGGTATGGGATTGCCTGTTTTGTATTTGAGTTCTTAAAAATATTCTCATTTTGTTAACAGTGTAACAGAGTTCCTGATGAGAGGAGGTACTTACTGCCTTTGAAGAGTAACTACATGAGACAGATTGATCAAATGGTGGGCTTGATCTGAAAGGTTCTTCAGAGTAACTTTTATGTATGTCAGGAGGAGCACGGGATTTGGCTGTAGACGTTCCTCTCCTTCAGCTACACACCTGCCTATGCTGAGTCACTTGGTGTCCCCCATGCTTGTTAGTTTTCAATTACGGACGTGAAGGGAGATCATGTTCTCTTACGAGTCCCTTCTTCTGAACTGTGGTAACTCCATGTGCCACCTGAATAGAGATTTCTTGTTTTAAGACTTCCTATGAAAAATGTTGTTGAAAATGAAGGCTGAATATACTTAGAAAAGAAAATTGGCATGTGCCACTTAGCTACCTCTTTGTAGCTGTATTACAAATGTCCCTTTAGAAAAGGGTCTAGTATTTAATTTGAAATGATCTTGGGATTGGGGAAGGAATGGGAAAGTGCAATTTCTTACACCAAGTTTAATCATTGAATTATTCTCATTAGCAATACACAACTTTAAGTACTACTCAGGTAGGAACCCACTGGTAATGGGTTTTGCTGAAACAAAACCGCTGTATCTAGAATAGTGTCTTGAAAAGGTAACTCCTGATCATCTAAGAAGCTACCAGCATAGTCATGATTTCCCTCACTTGCACAGTTGTATAGACCAGCGCAGTTGCAAGAGCCTGTGGCTGCAGAAACCAGTAACAAAACAAATCAGGTGCCTTTTTTTGTAAGGGGATGGGGGGAGGGCAGGGGAAATTGCAGAGCCACTCAGCTGTCCGAGCAGCTAACTTCATATAGCTTAGCTGAGCTGAAGTTCCAAAAGTTTTGTTGTTTGCCATGTATCTAGTGCCTTTTCAGGAGAGATGCTGCTAAGAACTGGTATAACAGTACGTGAAGAACAAACTATAACTATTTCACATTCCTGACAGCATTAATATGTTAGTGCCTTAAGTTTTCTTCACTCGCAGGAAAAACTGAGCTTGCTTGGGAAGATGGATAAAGTATTTCTGACTAGCTGGTTACAAAATATAGCGGATCCCAAAGTAACTTAAAAAGTAACTTACATATGAGATGACTTTTTTTTTTAAAGATACTGGAAGAATATCAACTGTGCCCATCCAAAGAATACTTGTGGGCTGGATTTATTCTCAGTGTCAGTTTAGATGGTAACGGGGCTGCCTCCGCATCATCCTGGGGATGGAGGTAGAGAGAGATCTGAGCCTGCGGTGTGCCACCTTCCCTCGGCCACAGCGCAGCGTGGTACCGGCCATCGCAACGGGGCCGCGGCTGCAGCAGCAGCCATCGATGCTGACTGCGGTGCTGGACTGTACCTGGAAACTGTGCCTTCTGCTTCCAGTGGGGAGCGATGACACGGTGCTCTTCCTTCAGCCCACCATCTTCAAATACACCCGGATATGTTTGAGGAATAACTGTCCATGAACTTTCAGGAGGAAAGCAGTTAAATTCAGGCAGGGCTGTTGAGGGATTAAAACAAGCTGAGGCCAAACTGATTCTAAACGTAACAGGTTTGTGGGTTTTTTTCAGTGGCTCCCCGTTGCTTATGTGTTTTTTACTTTTGACTACAGTTAAAGTAGTTGAATGTTACTATTGGGTTAATTATTTTTAAATTAAGGCTTAAATATAAGGGCAAACTTGATCTGCTGTATTTTCACCTTCTTATAACAACATTGGTTTTCAAAACCCATATATCGCAACTCAAAACACTTCTAATAAATATGAAGTTAGTGCTGAAGAGGTTATTGTTTGTATCTTTGAGTATACAGATGCATCTCAGGGACTTCATTGTAGAACCTTCTATTGCATGATAGTTGGACCTTGTATTCAAGCAAAAAAAAAATAATCCTGTCTTCCTAGTCTTATTGTGTGTGTTTTGAGGGGGGGTGGGGGAGAGAAATGTGTTGAGATTTCCCAAAACTTTGCAATAGAATCAGTTGCCTTTGATATTTGAGGCAGCTGGCAATTCCAACTCCTGTAGAATCGGCTCTGCAGACCTATTGCCAGAATGTCTCTGTTGCCTGTTCAATTGCCTATTTCAAAGCAAAACAGAAATTCAAGGTGTTAACAATCCAAAGAGGTATTGGGAGGGGTTCAAGGTATAGCTGCTTAACCAGTCAGCGTTGCCCGGGCATGCAGGTGTGCTTCACTTTGTAAACATGGAAAGAAATGCAGGAGGGTGCATAAAGGGAGAGCTTGCTGCTGACAGGAGGAGGCAGAAAGCAAAAATCTGGGCTTTCTGCAATGCTGCTGCTGGGCCTGATCTTCTAATTGCAGCTCTGAAGCGAGCCGCGCGTGGCAGCGTGGAAGCCAAGCGCAGCATTCCACAACGGGGCATTTCAAATCACGGCGTAGCGGACGCCGGGACGGACGTTGCCCTGGCTGTGTCGGCGGCTGCTCCCGGTAGCGGCTTTTCCCTGCCTCGCAGCTGAGCGCTCTGAACGCACGTTCTGTACCTTGCGATTGCCTCCCGGCGCTTTGCGCCTTCTGAAGCACCTGAACCCTGGTGAGGGTTCCAGCCGAGTGTTGCGCACAGAAATCTGTTTCAGAGTTTTCCTCGGAGAATTAAATGACTATAATGAAGTTGCACAACTGTCCTGCCTCCGTGCTTTTTCCTCTTGAATATGGCCAGAAAGAGAGCGAGGGGCGGCTGTGGAACGGGAACGGTACGGGCAGGTATCGCCACCTTTCAGCCGTAGTGACTTGGACTATGAGTTACGGTGCCAAATAGTATATGGCCAGCGTCTCGTTAGAGACTGCGTTGAAATTTGTGTTGCCAGGGTGATCTGAC